ATTCACAATCACTTTCAGATCATCAGGACAGTCACTCAAATTTCAAGTAGGCATGCTCAACTTCATGAAAAGCATAAAAATATCATTTCAAATCAGTTATACTCGTGTAAAACGGGTTTAGTCCCGCCACCACTTCAAAAACAAATCAAAACATGCTTATAAAACAGTACGGGCATTACCATAAATTTACTTACCTCACTCGCATAAAACCGAGCACTCAATCTCGATGCTAACTGGCAGAACGATCGGGAACCTAATCAAAACACCTCAGAATTAATATCGGACTATCACACATTCAAACTGAAATCATCATTAGGATCACTCCTGATCACAATGCTATTTCCTATCAATCTCCACATAATCAAATATCTCCAAATTCGTTCTTATATCACCAACTAATCATTTAAATTCCCGTTAAATGTTGGCCCTCGGGGTGTGAACAGTAACCGGTGAACAGTGCCGGTGAACAGTGCCGGTGAACAGTGACCCCGACGTTAACAGTAACCCCGACTTTCACAAATTGGCCAAAACACTAGCTAATCTCACGGGATTTTCTCTCCAAAAATCACAACAAGCAATTAACACTCAATCACATAAATCCCACTTGAATTAGTGCTTAATCATGGTCCTAAAGCTACCGGAATTATCCCCAATTTTTAGCCAAATTTGGACATCACACGGCAGCAAACTAAATGGACAATTTAAGCCTTAAAAGGCTGTCACATACCAGAATTTTCCAGCTAAAACCGGAGCTGCAGTTGGGGAAGAGGCCGGCGGCAATGCAGGGGAGAAATTCACGGGAACTACCCAAAATTGAAGGAAATAAAAGCAATCAAAGTTAACCCAAGCCAATTCAAGCAAGAACAAGGGAATTAGGGGCTGTTCTTACCGAAAAAAATGCCCAAAAATCACCCATAATCAAGAGCAGCCGGCGGAAGGACAAAGCAGAGCAGGGCAGATCCGGCTTTTCCAGCAAAGGGGGAGAGATTTCTGGGTTCCAAATCAGGTTCTTGGACAAGAAAAGAAGGGAAAAATCAAGCTTTCTCACTAGTTTCTCAAGCATGGCTGGGTTCCCTTTCTTTTTCCTTCGGGCGGCTGCAGCGGGAAGACAGAGCAGAACACGCGGGGAAGAAGAAGAAAAGAAAGAAAGAAAAAGGAGAAAAGAAAAGAAGTCATCCTTATCCAAAATTTTTCCCTCTTTAAGTCCCTCAACTTTGGGAATGTTGGCTATTAAGCCCAAAACAATATTTTTCCACAATTTAGTCCCTAACTTACACTTAAATATTCCCAAAAATTTGGGATATTACACTCACCCCTCCTAAAAATGAGTTTTGTCCCCAAAACTCAAATTGAGGACCATATCAAGTGGTGAGTGGCTTCACACAATCCGAGACAAAACAATTGCCTCATCACTTTCTAGGAACAGAACACGGCCTATTACGCTTCCGCTGCGCCACTCTGAT